TGTTTTTATATTTACCTGTCCATTAATTAAGTCTCTGTATCTTAGCACTTTATTCCTATCTGTAAAATTTGGGTGCGTTGTCCTTTCTGTCAGGGGAAGCTAATTCGGGATTTTCACATAGTGGTTTTTTTTTAATTTTGTGTCAGTTTTGCAATAGCGCGTTTCTAATTAGATGTTTTTAAAGTATTTATGCGTTTTGTTTTTATCATCCCATAAGAACGTATGCCAACCTACTTGCAGATCATGGCTTTCTAAGATCAAGATTCTTTTATTTTTTAACTCCACCCAGTCCTTCAACCATGTTATTGTTACTGCTTGTGCGTATAACTCCCAGTCTGGTAATGCTAATCCTCCTCTATCCTTGCTATCTTGCATTGACTTTAGTTTGATCCTCGCTTTTCGTTCTTGCCAGATGAACCTAGATGTTAGTTTGTTTAATTCCTGGAAGAAAGTTTTACAAGGATTCATAGGTGCGGTTTGCAACAAAAATAAAATTCTTGGTAAAATATTAATTTTAACTGTGGCTATACGCCCCATTAATGATAGCTGAATATTTTTCCAGCTTTCTAAATCTTTCTTTATCTGTGTCACTAGTTTATTATAATTATTGTCTTTAATTGTAGAACACTTGGCGGATACTCAAATCCCCAAGTATTTCATTTTCTTAGTTGTTTGCATTTTAGTCACTAATTCCAATTCTTCTTCTTGCTTTTTTGTCATATTCTTAGTTGTCATTTCTGTTTTGTTTTTATTAATTTTTAATCCTGCCACCTCCTCATATACTTCTAATTTTTGAATTAATTTTGGACTCGATTCTAGTGGATCTTCTAAAACAAATACTAAATCATCGGCGTAAGCTTGGATCTTATATTCTTCATTTTTAAGTCTTAAACCTTTTATTCCCTGGTCTTTCCTAATTTCATTTAACAATATTGCCAGAGTTAGTATAAATAGCAAAGGAGAGTCTAACTCCCTTTTTTATTTTGTCTAACTCCCTTTTTTATTTTGATCTTCTCTGTTAGTTCTCCGTTCATCAGAACTTTGGCTGTCTGTGTGTTATATAGTTTTTCTATTACTTTTGTAAATTTTTCTCCGAATTTCATCCTATCTAATTGTGTTGGTTTAAATTTCCAAATTACGTTGTCAAATGCTTTTTGTGCATCAAGGAAAACCAATGCCAATTGCTTTTCTGGATGCGCCTTATAATATTCTAATATTTCTAGGATGACTCTCGTATTATTATTATTTTTATTAAACAATTTTTATTTATTTTTAAACAAAGACAAACAAACATAAAAAACCATCTTCCATTACAAATTGTAGAAAGTGTGTAAGTTGGTTACAGTGTTTCCATGCATCTCTTCCATAGTCACCACCTGCTTTTCATATCAAATCGCATATTTTAAATTCACATATATTCATGTATGTCACGATTATTATATCTCAATCTTAATTTGACTATAATTGTTTTTACATCCTTTTATATATAATATTCAAAATATAGAATNATGTCTGTGTAAGCCCCTACCATATTGGAATTCTGCTATCATGTCTCCCCTTGTCCTTATCTTTACTAGACCAGCCATGCCCAGTTCCTGCAACCGTTCATCGTATGTTTTCGCCTCCAGTCCCCTAATTAGCAATATGGTACCTATCAGTGGCATGTTGTTCATCCCCTTCCCAAAGTGGTTTCTGCAGATCTGCGCACTTTCAAAAATGATTTTAAAAATGTCATTAATAATCGCCAAAAACGTGTTGCTGATTTCAAGCAAAAACAGGAAAATACTGAACGTTTTTCAGTGAGAACACCTGTGATTCAACACAACTTGGATTCTGTTCAAATGTTGGCATCCTGTTTGTGTGAGGCACCTGCAGTATTCTTGGGAACTGTTGCTGTAAGGGCAAAATTACAACGCTATGCAGTTGTTTTTTTTACACTACATCAGTTGAATTAATGAGAGAATTGGCATTAATCAAAGAAAAGAGCCAAATGAATAATTGCACAGGGAACCAGAAAGAAAGCATAATCAGGAACTGGGTGGTCATTTAATGATGGATCTGGCCCAGTGGTGGGTTTCAATTTTGTTTACTACTGATTTGCTTGTGCACGTGTGTGCGCTCGCATGCAATGCTTTTGCACATGCGCAGAAGGGTCTGGGTGGGAGGAGGGGCGGAGCCTCCCACCGCTGCCACTACCGGTTCACCCAATCCAGGCCAAACCGGGAGCAACCCACCAATGATCTGGCCTTTTACCTAAACCAAATATCTAATTTGCATTTTAGGATAAGAGCACATAGAAAGAAATCGTATTAGATCAGAGGTGAAAAACTACAATCTTTCAAATGGCCTTTTTGGTTGCAATTCTCTGTCTGGAAGTATTTGTCCCTGAACATAATGGCTTTTTTTAAACAAAAGATAAAATAAAATAACAATGCATAAGATTGTGCTAGGCAATACTAAAATATATATCTACATGCTTATAATACTAATAATGGCACAGTAGCTGACTCAAAGAATCCATTCAAATCTGTCAATGTGTTGCTGTAGGAGTTGCCTAAAAGTTTGAAAGCTGTGGTCCACACACACCCCCCCTTTTTTTTTGAAAGGGCTCATGTCTGGATATGAGGGGTCTTATATAACTATTAGCTGGCACCCAATCTTTCTTTTTTGGGGGGAATGTTTTTGATCTGGCAGTGGTCAACTTCCTATGCAACGTTTAGAAATGGATTATCTTGATACCTTTTAATCAGGGAATCAGGGCCATGTGTGGTGAGATGGCTTACTCATCTTAATGGCTGTGTCAGGACCTGGCGAGGGTATGCATACTCCTGGGTTTTTGGCCCTCTTGACAGCTTTTGATATGATTGGTCATGTATCTTACTTGGCTACTTGCAGAGGTTGGGAATTGGGAACCCTATTTTACAGTTGTTCTGTTCTTCTTAAGGGGGAAAAATTCAGTCTACATTGAAGGAGGAGGATGTTTGGCCCAGTGACTTATGACTGTAGGGGTGCCATTATGCTCTGTCCTTTTCCCCCCGCTTCCACATTTGAGATGCAGTATCATTAATATGCTGATGATACCCAGGTATACAGGTAGTCCTCTACTTAAAACAGTTCACTCAGTGACCATTAGAAGTTACAACAGCAATAAAAAAGTGACCTATGACCATTTTCCACTTATAACCATTGCAGCAGCCCCATGGTCACATGATTTACATTGGAACGCTTGACAAGTGACTCATATTTATGACAGTGGCAGTGTCCTGAGGTTTAAGAGTTTTATCGAACGTATTTGGCTTTAATGATTGAATCAATTAATTAGCATTAATACATAATAAATATATAATGTACTATTGTTTAATACACTTATGCACAATAGTAGTTCAACTGGGATGCACATAATTTGGCCATGTCATGAGTCAGTTCTAATTATTTTCATCCAACTATCAAATAAAAATGACAAGCATTGTATGCATTCAAAAATTATTTTATTATTAACATAATCTTTCCATTGAGCCAAGGTAGTGTATACTTCATAAGGAATGTCGGTAAATATTCTATTTTTAGCATCTTTTTTACATATTTCCATTGATAAATAAACTCTGGATTCACATAAAAAAGTTAAACTTAAATAACTAATATTTTCATTTCTTTTTCATTTCAACAGGCATACGCTGGTAAAATATAAATATTCTTGTACACAACCTTTCTTCTAAATACAAGAAATAACAATTAGCTACACATCACAGCTATTAACAACTCAAAACATAACCTTTCAGCTGATTTGCTGGGCTGGACTACCATACAAGATGGAACACAGCAAATTTCACATTTTGATTCTGAGCTCCAGAGAGGTTGAAAGCCACGAAGAGAACAGGTCTTTGACAGGCTTGGTTAAAAATAGGCTTTGCTCTGCCACTGAATTTTTAACCTGAATCTATTATCTATCACTGATTCTATTTAGAGTTTTTACATAACACTCTGATGTCACCTAACAAAATATGGCACAATATCCATTTGAACAATAAGCATCAGGTTTCGAAATGACTATGTGGCAAAAATGTAGACAATACATACATGGTGGCTTAAAGTGTGCATGTGTGTTTATTTCCTTCTCTTTTCTAATTTTTCTTCACTGATTTACATCCTATATTGCTTTCCCACGTTGGACACCCGACAGAAATGAGCAGATTGCCTGCAGTTGTATTTGTTACCTCTCAGGGTGAAGAGCTGCCCCTTGGAGTCAGAAGGAAAGATTAGCTCACATTCTCAAGTTCAGCTGAAGCAGGATGAGCAGCCTGCCTTTCAAAGGATTCGAGGGATGATGGTGAAAGGGACAACAGGGCTACTGGCTTCAAGCTCCAGTGCCGTCAGGAAACATTCTGTGGCTGCATCATCATTACCCTGAGCTTGCAGAACCACCCCAAGGCCATTCCAAACTTCATGGGCCGTTGAGTTCACCTGGACAGCATCCCGAAGGATCTTCTCGGCCAAGCTGTACCGGCCAAGCTGATGAAGAATTAGAGCCTAGAGGGAGAAAAAGGAAGTAGCATTAAAAACAACCGCAATCAAATCCTAATATGAAAAAGAGCAGTATAATTATACTGAATACAACTGGTACCATATTTTTCGGAGTATAAGATGCACCAAGATTTTGAAGAGGCAAATTAAAAAAAATTTTTTTTTGCACTCTGCAAACCTCCCAAAAACGGCCTGTTTTTTGTCAAAAAAAGGGAATGCATAGCCTTTAGGAGGCTTGTAGAGTGCTCCTGGGTACTGGGGAAGCCCACAAACGAGCAAAAAATGGCCAGGTTTTTTTTGCTAAAATGGGTCCATTTTTTGTAAGAAAAAAAAAGAGCATGTATAGCCTTTAGGAGGCTTATAGAGTGCTCCTGGGGGCTGGGCTGGGCAAAAATGGCCCTTTTCTGCTCTTTTTTGTCCTCCTTAGCCCCCAGGAGCAATATGTAAGCCTCCTAAAGGCTATGCACAGCCATTTTTGCATGAGGGGTGGGTTTTAGGCCAAAAATGCTGTATTCAGTGTATAAGATGCACCCAGATTTTCAGCCCCTTTTTTGAGGGAAAAAGATGTGTCTTATACTCCAAAAAGTATGGTAAATCTGTGGCAATAAGGCTAGATAACAAGAGGGCAACCATTTCCAATCTGATCCCCTCCAGCATAGCAACTCATTTCAAATTCTTGAAATGTTAATTATTTATTTTACATTCCATGTTTATCATTATTTTTATAAATAACTCAAGGTGGCGAACATGTCTAATGAAACTTCCTCCTCCTATTTTTCCCACAAAAAGTTCTTGTGGGGTGACTTGGGCTATGAGAGAGTGACGGACCCAAGGTCACCCAGTTAGCTTTCATGGCTAAGGTGGGTTAGAATGTATGATCTCCCAGTTTCTAACCTTATGCCTTAACCACTAGCCCAAACTGGCTCTCTTATATTATTGCTTTTATTGTTTTTTTTAATTATTTATTTCATGATCTTCGGTTTTTCATGTATTTCCTGTTTTTACTCTATATTTAAGCATAGTGTTAATAGTACTATACAGTCCAAAAGGAATACTTCCAACGGTTTAATGGGCTGTCTGTTACAACATTTCAATTTCAAGAGCTCTTGAGTTACAGGCAGAAAAGATAGGAGAAACAGTTTACTTTTGGAATGTCACAAATATTTCTCATCTACTTTGCAAATAAGCGAAGTTAGTAACTTACCGTATTTTTACCATACCAACTATACAGATATATTATAATAGGCTATGAGAATCACCTTAACACACACAAACTGGAAGAGCTGCAGCCTAGATAATGGTCAGAAAAAAAAATCTCAACCCACAAGAATGAACGGGGGCAGGGAAAGCATCCCAGAAGAAACTCTCCCTAGTCGTCTAGAAAGTAAAGGCAAAGGTGGGAGAACTGCTTTCAAACTTGCAAGACTGATACCAGCCTTTCAGGAGTGGTCCAGACAAGAAACCAAAGCCAGTACAAACAATTGTCGTACTAACTAAAAATAGTACTAACATTATTTTTATTGTAAATTTACAGTAACAAAATCCTCTGGTTGGGTGTTTCTGGTTTAAAGAAAAGTAAAGTCTCTGTAAAGATTTTTGGTTTGCTTATTTATTTATCGTATTTATACATCCGCCCATCTCACAAATGTATCTCTGGACAGTATACAAATAAAACAAATATAAAACAATTAAACACAATTTAAACACAAATGCAGTGGTACTTCAGTACTCAACCTTAATTTACGAGTATCAAAAACGATGAGTACCAAATTTTTCTGATAAGGAATAATGTAGTGAGTCACATCGACAAGTTCTAGCTTGTGTGTTGAGTACTAAACAAATAATGAGTACTGGGACAAATTTTTCATGTCAAAATGCATTGAGTACCAAATTTGATGAGTTTCAAAGCAGTTGAGTACCAAGGTACCACTGTATAAGACTGCAGGAAATAGACCAATATGCTACACACAGTATAACCATCTTGCAGGGTCCCTATTTCCCTAGGACCCTCAAGCCTGTCAAAAGCCATGGTTTGAGGGATTTCCTAAATGCCAATAGGGTTGGGGCTAACCTCACCTTGGGGGGAAATGAAGCAGTAGGAAATCATTACAAACTGCAATAAATAATTTCTTACAAAGCATGTATGAAACTAGACATTATGTACGTTACAGGTTGGCAATTACAACAGTCACAAGGTCACCGTAGGAAAAGTACTCTTCACATACTCTTTTTCCATGACTGTCCCAATGTGCATGGAAACTGTGAGAAAAGGGTAGTCATATGCATTTTCTTCATCCGATTGAAATCTTGTAGGAATTCTGCACTACTCCATTCACAATCATGCATCATTTCTATATCAAGGGGGTGTAATGAATCTCTTGAACTTTGTGTGCAATGGAATGTATTGGGAAATAGGAGGCTCTGTTGCAGAAACAGAAATTAATTTGTTTTGGTTCAGCCTGAATACCAATTATGGCATTTTGATGCTCCAGTTTCCTTTTGAACAGCTCCCATTCTCTCCTCTGAACTGAGCACTAAACAATGACACAGCTTCTTGTTACTGTGCAGGAAACATGCACACTGTAATGTAAATCTAAAACAAATGTGGAATTGTTTTTTTTTAATAAAACAAAATCTAAAAAGTATCCCCCAAGTCTAGAGAAAACATGAAATTGATAACTATTTTGCATGTTTGTCTAATACAATATAGTCCTCACCCCTGCCAAAAGTTAAGGGCAGCTCTTGGTGATCAAGAATTTGCAATCAATGGCTACAGGCTATGATAGGGATGGACAACATAGAGGACCTCGAGATATTTTGGACTTCAACCATGAAACAATCTGCTCTATAAAGAATAAGGATGGGGCAAGGATGGGTTCTAATTTAGATTGCTGTGGTGCTTGTGATTACACTTCCTGGTTGTCAAAAGCTTGAAAGAGTCACAGAAGATCTTATAAGACATTTACTGACAGTGAGAACAGTTAATCAGTTGAACACCTTGCCTCCTGAAGTTGTGGATGCTCCATTGCTGGAGATTTTCAAGAAGAGATTAGATAATCATTTGGTATAAAGTCTTTTGCTCAAGCAGCGATTTGGACTAACAGGCCTGCAATGTCCCTTCCATGATTCTATAATTCTAACTCACATGGTGATTTAAAATAATTAAATGCTGCATTCTTTCAACTCACCATTCTTAATAATTCATTAGAGGTTAGGAATGGCTTATTTGTAATCTTCAAGGCTCCATTTTAATCCCACATATCATTTATGTTAAAAGTCATGACCTTGAATTACCACTTCTAATGTTTTCAACTTTACATATCACTTATGATAATAAATACAAACAGTACTCAAAAAAAACCAAAAACTTTAAGGCGCTTTAGGTAGACATGTGTGGAGGCATAAACAGGAAGACACATTGTTAGGAATATAATCTAATGGTTGGGTTGGGTTGACTGTTTTATCTGTGTATGACTTGGACTGCTTGATGGACTCTGATACCTCTATTTCCACAAAAGTAAAAGCCTACTTAAACTGCAGTGTCTCTGTATGCTGGTTTGTGTGTTCTCCAACACAACTCTCACAACGCTTCTCTGAACGTACTCGCTTTCCCAACGGGGAGCTTACCTAACACACATAACCACATAAAAATGTTTCAAACCATAACTTTAAAGGTTTTCCATTTATGTCTCCTAAAAACAAGGACCTAACCTTTTAAAGCAGGATACTTTTGGCTCAATAATACTACACGTCCCCTTTCCTTCCAGATCTTGAATAGAACAGTAATCCTTGCCCACCCCCCAGCTATCCTTTCACAAACTAACCCCCCTTGTTGCTTGCCAAACCAGCTCCTAGGTATTGCCTTTCACAGCAGCAAAATCTCCTGGGTAAACAGACAACCCATTCTTTGGTGGGCTGCTGGGAAAACGTGGGGAAGCTTCTTCAACACAATAGCCTTCAACAAACCCTTCTACATAGCTGTTTGCTGAGCTGCAGGTAAGTACAGCAACCTCTGCTTTGAATCACTGTAGCTAAGAGTCTGCCCAGTCAAACCAGAATTATATATGGCTTTATTGTTCACTGAATCCTTTGAAGCAGACAGAATAATGTTTGCACACAACATATGTGTTCACTATGCTCTTCTGTTTATCTAGCATGCCTATTCTTGCCTTTTTATCTACAATGCAGCCTCTAGTACGCTGCATACATTCAGCTGTGTAAACGCATGGGATGGTTAATTTTCCATTCCCCTCCTCGTACTTCCCCTCCAACAAATCTCCAAGGTAGTGAATTGCTTGTTCCCTTATTAGTAAGAAGCAACATTTGTTTCGGAGGGAAAATGCTCTTTAGCTTGGTAACACGAGTTTTAAAATGTCAACCTTAATGTTGCTGCTTATTGAACTTTCTCCTGCACCAAAAGGGTAATGAATGTGGGAAATAAATCAAGACAATTTTGGCCATTCCTAGGAGAAAAGTGATTGCTTGAAGGAAAATGAAGATCTACTTCAGAAGCCTATCTACAACTTCAAATAAAATTAGTCTAATATGCTTCCAGAATGCTTCTCTCTCCCCCCACCCACCTTTTACACACACACCAAATGAATTCCTATTCAGCTAAAATTTCTACTCATGTCAAATCAAGAGTCAATTTAGAAAGACCTGAAAGACCTATTCAGGCAACAGCAAAGAGAATGTACGGAGACAAAACGTTGAGACCATATGTCATTCTAAGGTTTCCACCCCAATCCTGGGTTAAGTGAAATTTTGACGCCAGGGATAACTGCACATGTGGTTAAATGCAGTTCAAAGTTATGACAGCTCTAAATGAGTAGTGGTTAGGATCAGTCTTCATAATTTGGCCATCCCGGCAACCCTGTGATGACGTGATCGTGATCTGGGTGCTTGGCAACCAGTTCCTGTTTATAATAGTTGCAGCATTTCACGGTCACATGATTGTGATTCGCAACCTTTCCTGCTGGCTACCTGTAAGCAAATCAGGGAAGGTC